ACATTTTAAAAAACTTTTAATTAAATTTTTGTGTATTTCATACAGAACATCTTAATCAACTTTATCCCTCCTTCCCCATTGGTGCCCACACATGCCCCCCCCCCCCAGAGTTCATACAGTCTGTCATTTGTGTTAAGGCCTATTATGTAAGGTTAGTGTCCTTAGATGTCCCTCAGTGCAAGTTCATCCACTGGGATCCTGTCAGCCTATCTAGAGTCCCTCCCTTTAAGAAATCAGCTCTTCCTCACGCAGCATAATCAGCTGCCAATAATTCTTCAACTAAGATTGAGGCCTGCTGTTCATTTCCATAGTTCTGTGCTGGGTTTTTGTCTGCTTAAATTTGCATGGGTCTTGTACATGCTGACACCATTACTGTAGGTTGGTATGAGAAGAGTCCCACACTCAATGTTTTATAAGCTCAAATGTTATCATTTTAAGGCTCTAATATTTAACTTATATTCATTGGAATTTAACTAGGTATTAGAATTGAAGACCAGGTTCAAAGTCTACAAGGTTGTAGCTTGCTTGAATACCTGATGATACCTCCAGTGGTAAAAACTAATGGTGGCATTGACATTCTCGAGGCTTTTTTCCTATTGAATTAGCATTACTGGAGCCCCATATTGGTGAGAAAAGGCTCCTATACTTATTAATCCTTGTGACTTTACATAAAGCACTTAATTTTCTGAGCTTCAGCATCCTCATCTATGAACTAAGGGATAAGAACACTGCATACCGCAAGTGATTGTAGAAGGGATGCCTGAGAAAACAGAGGGGAGTTCACGCTGTGAACCCCCCCTCCCGTTCTCAGTGCATGGAGTTGGCTGCTTTGTGGGCTTGCTCTTGCCTCTGGCTCGAAGTTCTTTCTTCTGCGTCATCACTGGCTTTTTAAAATCATTCAGTTACCTTTTCAACTACTATTTCTTTAGAGAGATCTTCCCTTATTGCTCTGTAAGAACTAGACCTTTGACAGTCATACCAATGACTTAATTTTTTATAACACTTATTTCATTGCCATTCCTTGCCCTCTTGTTCTTCCTCTTCCTCCTCTTCCCCTTCCTCCTCCTCAGCCTCCTTTTCCTGCTCCTCCTTATCCTCTCCTTCAACTATAATCTAAGCTTAAAACTAGAGTTCAACAATGAGACATTTTATTGAACTTTGACTTGGTTCATTGTACATGTATACACAGTACAATACAGAGAAATCTGAAGAATGGGGATTTGGAAGGTCCCTGAGATCTGTGGTAATTAGGAGGTCACAGTACCAGCTCAGAAGCAATTTCAGTGCTGTGAAAGGAAGGATGAAGGGGTTTTTGCTTGTGTCTGTGTGTTTGTAAGAACAGGGGGAAGAGGAAAGAAGACTTTGACAGTCCTAGGGAATAGACCTTGACACTTAGTGCCCTGGGGCCAAGATGTAAGTGCCCTATAATTCTGCCATTGAAAAAATTTCTCATTTCTGTCTTTGAAAATTGGATGGATCTTGATTAGTCTTGTTAAATTGGTTGTTTCCTTCCAGCAATGAGAAAAGATAGGCCGCCTCAACAAAATCTCCAGGAAAACATTTTTAAGTTACAAGATGAGTACTTGATATATTTTTTAGGAAGCCAAGCTGTCTGAAGCAGTGTCAGCTTCCAATGCCTGGAAAAGTCATTATGAGAAAATCATAATAGAAAAAGCTGAATTGGAAGTTCAGATCGAAACAATGAAAAAGTAAGCAAGAATTTAGATTCTTTTATTGTTCTTTGAGTTTAGTTCTTAAGTGCTTTATATTTTGGTTCTTCTCAGTTTCATGTGTAAGGCTGCTATGTATAATCCTGTAAACTTTTCTTCTCCTATATCTAGTAATAAGAATCTTTGCTTTTCAAGAATGCATTGGTATTCCCATTTTAGATGTTGAGCTTATAGATAGTACTTTGTACTTGATTATAGATTAGTTCTATGTGCCATCTCTTTGTAATGAATGTAAATAATTTGCTTTAAATGGAAGTGGTATTTCTCAATTAAACATCTAAGTAGCAGCATTTATAACACAGACGTGCTTTAAAATCCTAAGAATTATTATTCAGTGAGTAAAAGTACATATATTTTGCTCTTTGATTTATTACTGCTGAAATAGCAACAATAGACTCTTAGTATCTGTTTTTGATTATTTTATTTCTATGCTGTTAAGTTTTTTCATTGAGAATTACCATGTAATTTGCTTCTAAAGATTAAGTGCCATTGCCTTGCTCAGTCCTTTTCTTGAAATTAGTCTTCTAAGTTGTGCATATGTATGTGCATGTGTGTGAATGAGAGGCAGGCAGGCATGCATACTGTGGGTGATAGGTTAGACATTTTTCTTAGTAGCAGAGATTGTTGTTTCACTGGCATTATCAGTGGGCAGTTATTGCTAGTTGTGGTTGCTGTGGTGTGACCCAGGATTACCTCTTCCTGTTCCCTGGCTCTGTCAGTTCTTGAACTTTTTGTACCTTCTCTATTTGAAACATTGCACCTTTACAGAATGATTTTAGAAAGTCTTGAAATGTGTTATTTAAGCAAAAATTTCCATGCTTTATTTCATAAAGGCAGACCACTGATCTTTTGGAAGACTTGAAGAAAATGGAGACTCACGGAAAAAATTCATGTGAAGAAATTCTTAGAAAACTTCACTCACTTGAATATGAAAAAGAAACCTTGAATCTTGAGAATAAGAAATTAAAGGTACTCCGTGTGTGTGTGTGTGTGTGTGTGTGTGTGTGTGTGTGTGTGTAGCAGTTGTTTTAGGTAAGGGCCTGGTTGGGTAATGTTCTTACATCAATTTGTCTTCATGTTGCTCATAATACAATATTGTTCAAATAAATAACTTCCAAATCTGTCAAATTTATTTGTACATGTATATGTGTACATATGTATTTCTGTATGTATATATATATGTTTTAAGGTTTATATTTATATTTACAGAAATAAGTTTAAATTGTTTTAGCAGTGCAAAGTAAGGCTTATAAAGTTGAACAACTCTCCCTTTGTTTCAACTCTAAAAACATTTATTTACTCTAATTTTAGCAGTTAAGTGAATCATCTAAAATTGCATTAACTTTAATACGTAAAACTGTTTCTAGGTGTCATGGTTACCATAGGATATAACCTCAGGCCTTGTCTGTTTGAAACCAGAAAGTATGTTCTTGGCTGCCTTATAACCAGAAAGAATTTTCCATCTGAGTCATCTCCAAGGAGTGATTGGTTTGTCTGGGTCCCAGAGAAGAGATCAAGCTGTGTGTGTGTGTGTGTGTGTGTGTGTGTGTGTGTGTGTGTGTGTTTTAGACTTTCTGAAAAAAAGAAACCTGAGTCCTCAGACAGCCAGAGCCATGTGACCCAGTGGGTTTGACTGAAGCTGAGGGTACCATGTTAGCTCCATGAAAAAAAGGAGGCAGAAAAGAAGCATTTTGAACCTTTAGATAATCATAAAATTCTTTCAGATTTATGTTTTAGAAATAGAAAGGTTTAGAAAAATTAGAAGAGATTTAAATGTAGCTTCGTTTTTTTTTTCCTGAGTATAAACTTTAACATTTAGAAAATTTAAAATCTAGATTACTATTATTTTGCTAAAAATAATTTTCTTTGGCAATATTTAAATCTTCTATAATTTTCGCATTAATAAATTCATAGAAATAGTTCATTGCAATTTTTCCTAATGTGTACAGTTTTTTTGAGACAGGGTCTCCCTGTAGCCCCAGCTTTCCTGGAACTCACTATGTAGACCAGGCTGGCCTCAAACTCACAGAGATCCTCCTGCCTCTATCTTCCGAGTGCTGGGATTAAAGGCGTGCGCCACCATGCCTGGCCCACGTGGACATAATTTTAAATAGCCAATAATTATAGTTATTCTGAGAAAAGGAAAGAATTCATTTCTAATGCCAAGAGAAGGAAAATGCTTTACTCTTTAAAGATGAAAATTCCTGAAATTCTGCAGAGGCCTGTCTCCAGATGCCATGCTGGAGGTGTGACGTCCTGTGGCTGCTGTTCTGGTGCTGTGGTTTCCTGGAGCCTGTGTTGTCTGTCTTGTTACTCCTTATTTTGTTGGAATATATCTTCAAAAAATATATGTAACTTTAGAAAAGAGAAAGAAATGCATGCCAAAAGGTTTGTAACATATCTAAAAATGCTTTAATTTACCTTCATTTTGCCTGATGACTAGCTGGGTCTAGCATCCTGGAGGAAGAGTAATCTTTGCTCGTTGCCTTTAGCAGTTACAGTGTTGGTAGAAAAAAATCAGTTGCCAATCTGATTTTTATTCATGGAGGTTCTGTTTTAAATTTATTTATCTTTTTGTGTTCAGATTCCATATACAGTGTACAGGTATGCTGCCCTTTGGCCACATGTGTTAAGATTTCATATGCAGTGTACAGGTGTGCCGCCCTTTGGCCACATGTGTTCAGATTTCATATGCAGTGTACAGGTGTGCTGCCCTTTGGCCACATGTGTTCAGATTCCATATGCAGTATACAGGTGTGCTGCCCTTTGGCCACGTGTTCAGATTCCATACACAGTGTATAGGTGTACTGCCCTTTGGCCACATGTGTTCAGATTCCATATGCAGTGTACAGGTGTGCTGCTGTTTGGCCACATTCCTGAGATGTTTCTTGGCGTGTGCTGGCTCTCATCTTTCCATTTTCTCAAGTCTTCTGTCCTGGATGTATTGCTGGTGCATTGGTAGGCTGTTGACTCTCCTGGATTGATACTCTGCTTTCCATCTCTGGCTTTTGTTCAGTTTTGTGAGAGATTTCTTTATTTTTCATTTCTCTAATCCTTTGAAAAAATTTAATTTCCAAGATTCTTACTTGTTTTTGAGGAGTCTTGCTCTGTCATCCAAGCTGGCCAAAGTCCCATGCTAAAGTGATCCATCCCTGTTCAGCTTTCAGTTGCTGGGACACAGCTCCATGCTCAGCCCTGCCTGTTGTGTGTGAGTTCTCTGACTGCTGCTGTCAGTCAGGTATCTGAGAAACTGGAGGATGCGTCTTCACTTCTGTTTTCAGTTTCTAGAGCGTCTCCCCCTGGTTCAGTACTTAATTTCCTTTTTTTCTTTCATTGCCTTGTTACTCTCTTTATAGAAATGTCTGACAACATTTAAGAGTGTACAAATGAGATACAGAAAACTAATATAAAGTAGACAATCAGAAAGTGAGCTCAGTGTGTGGAAGGCCTTGCCAGTTGACAGGTGTTACCGCTGACCTGTTGAGGGCCAGGCAGCTTCCCTGGTGGCGCCTAAGAAGGCTGCACCCATCTTTGCTCTGGGTTACTAGTACCACCCTGATCTAGCTCTGCCCAGAGAGGTAGATAGGGCAAGGACTCACAGCAAGAAACTGAGGGCAGGAACCATGGAGGACTACTGCTTGCTGGCTCACTCACATGATGACTTGCTCTCTGGCCCATGCTTAGCAATTTTGTATTTGGCCCAGGACCACTTACCCAAGTAATGGTGCCTCCCACACTGGCTGGGCCTCCTACATCAGTTAATAAGACAGCTGCTCACAGACATGCCCATGGACCACCCTGATCTAAGCAATGCAGTTGAGACTTTTCTCAGGTGACTCTAGGCTGTATCAAGAGGACAGTGCCCTTGGAAGATAGCATTGTTTTCCTTTGGTGCGAAGAACAGACATTCTCTTCCTAGTATGAGCTAGTTGAGCTTCCTGAACTCAGCTTTGCCATCCTCTAGAATATCGCACTGCATGTGCAGTCGTCGCTGCCTTCTTTGTCTTGCTCTATTAGAGGTGAGCTCAGGAAGCTGACACAGTGCCAAAGGCTTTGCTGCTGTTGCTGTGAGGAATAAAGTTCTCTGCTTCTGACCCAGGATCTTGTGTCTTCTGCTGGTATCACTGAAACTGTGGTAGGCTAACTGCTGAGCCTGCACAGAGAGTTAAAGCCTCAGGTTCTTACAGGTCCTAATACCATCTTTTGATTTTTACCATCAGTAGAGTTTTTGCTCTTCTAGAATCAAATACAGTTTTGTCTGGATCTTCTTTGAAATTTGTATAAGTCTTAAAAAATATTTAAGCCATTTGATGCTTCTTTTGTGATGGGTTGAGGCAAGTAGGTAACCTCTTTTCTTCCTAATAGGTGCAGTTGTCTTCACCATCTATTTACTGGCCTATGTTTTCCCTATTGACTTTAAAATCCAGCAATTATGTGGGACGTGGTGGCTCATGCCTTTAATACCAGCACTTGGGAGGCAGAGGCAGGCTGATCTCTGTGAGTTCAAGTCTAGCCTGGTCTACATAGTGAGTTCCAGGCCAGCTGGGACTACAGGGAGACCCTGTCTCAAAAAGACCCCCCCCCCTCCAAAAAATCTAGCATTTATGATATCCTAAGTATTTTTGTATGTATTTTTCTTTCCTTTTCTACTGTCTTCTATGTTCATGATAGTGTCTTAATGCTTCTAAATCTTTATATGTTTTAATATCTAGGTAGCACTGATACTGTCCAATTATTATTTACTATCTTAGTATTTACTATCTAAGTAGCACAGAAACTGTCCACTTTGCAAAATTGTTTAGTCTTTCCTGTTTGTTCTCTCATATATAATTTTGTTGTTTTATTTTGAGAGTGGGTTTTATTAAGTGGCCCTGGGTAGCCTGGAATTTGCAGATTCTCCTGCTTCTACCTCCTGAGTGCTGGGATTATAGGCCTGTGCCACCATGCCCAACTCCCATATGAGTTTTAAATAAATTTTGTCATATCCCCTTTAACCATTATACTCCTGGTTTAAATTGTAGAGTGTTAATATGGAAAACTGACATGTCAACATTATTGATTGTTCTTTCCCAGGAATACAGCTTATTTCTCAGTTATCTTTTTATTTGTCAGTAAATTTTAAGTTTAAAAATACATATACGCCTTGTGTAAGCTTAATTAAGGATCATATGTATTGGTCATTGACTTTTAAAAGTTCCAAAGTTCAGATGATAATTATATGAAATCAAAATAGTTATTTGATTAGCTATTGATAAATGAATTCTGGTTTAATAAATCTCTAACATCGATTACAGTGTTCTAATGACTTACAGAATCCATCGTATTTCTTTCTAGACTACACTTGATGCTTTGAAAGATGAAGTTGTTTCTGTTGAAAAAGAATTATTAGAATTACAAGAAGTAGAAAAACGACAGAAAATCTTAATTGAAGTATATAAAACTCAGGTGACCACAGCATCTATTTTAATGTTTGTTAAAATCTGTCTGATTTAAAACACTGTATTTGTGATCCAAATAGAACTGAAGCAATGGGGTTATCATTTTATGTATAATCCAGTATGTCCAAACACTTCTTATGCTCCGAGATACTTTTATAAAGATAATTCTGCCAATTTCTGATGCTAGCACTACTTATAGATATATTAGATATTCCTAAGTGTAGATTTAAAGTGAATTTCATAGGTAGAGTGAGAATCTCAATGTATAAACTTGTCGATCTTGGTTATATTTGTCATTTCATGTATTTAATGGTATTGATTTAGAATAATGTTTGTTTTCTAGGTCATTAAATCCTGGTACTCCTCTTCCTAGTAAATTAAATAATTCAAACATATTCACGTGAAACACCTAGAACATATGAGATGTTAGAGAGAAGGCTCAGTGGGTAGCGTGCTTGCCATACTAGCATGAGGACCCGAGTTCGGATCCCTAGCACTCACGTACAAAGCTGGGTATAATGGGGCATATCTATAATTCCAGCATCTCTCTTCAGGTGAGGCAAAGTGTAGGCAACTGTAAGGGTGGCATAGGTGGATTAGGTGAGAAAATGGAGTTGCAGTATCTAACTGCAGTGTTCTAGGTGGGGAGGTAGGAATGGAGCCCCTGCAGGACTGTGGGCCTGTTATCTGGGCCTCCCACCCAGTTGTTCAGGTTTAAGTCCTTAGCAAGAGTATAATGGCTGAAATACCACCTTCTAGCTGATGGACGGTACATAAATTTCATCCTTTCTTTTGAATGGATTTTGATTTTGTGGGAAAAATTATTGGAATAAGAGCTGGTTTGCATCAGAGACTGATTTCTTATTGTGACAGTTATCTGCAAGTGAAGACTTCTGGAGGCTTTAGAGCCGAAGCAGAGTCTAGAGCATTGATGGGAGAAGATGGGCAAATCAGGAAGGTCTGGGGTTAGAGTCAAGTACTGAGAAACTCTGTGTCAGAAAGAGTATTATTAGATATATATGCAAAGAGTGCTAGTAGAGAAATAATAATTTGCTTAAAATACAAATTCAGCAGGGCATGGTGGTGCATGCCTTTAATCCCAACACCCGGGAGGCAGAGGCAGATGGATCTCTGTGAGATAGATGCCAGCCTGGTTTACATAGCAGGTTCCAGGCCACCTGGGGCTACAGGGAGACCCTGTCTCAAAAAGACCGATAAAAAAATAAAAATATAAATTCAAAATAAAATGAATGTAAATTCAGATTTTAGCTTTTATTTTATGTTATGCTCCTGGTTATAAAATAATGCATGGTGCTTTAGTGTTATATTTTTATTTTCAGGTTCAAAAGTTGCAAGAAGCAGCCGAAATGGTAAAAAGCAGATGTGAAAATTTGCTGCATGAAAATAACCTAATAATAAAAAACAAAAGTAAAAAATTAGAGAAGGTAAGTTTGAAATTAAAATAATGAAATAAATTTTATACATACATGTATATTCAGTCACTTCTGCTAGTTCATAGCAAGAATGGCCGTTCTCAGTCTCTATAGAGGAGTTTGTTTATAGGTATTTTTTCCCCCTGAAGATGCAGTGTTTCTTCCGAGCTTCAAATGTTTGTTTACAGGACTGTCTTCAGTTTTTTCATAGTATTTGAGAATAGCATAAATGCTTAATTTTTCTGATACAGGTCCAGATTTAACCCTCTTCCCCAAACCCTCACAATTATTTATCACTGAGATGAATCAGCAATAAAATGTAAACTAGTCTCATCTTTTTTTTCCCCTGTTTTTAGATCTTTCGTGTTAAAAAAAAATTGCAAAGTAAATAGTCTCTGGTAAATGCATTTTTGGAAGAAAAATAATATCTTAAAAAATGCTTCCTTTTATGGATCCTGTTGCAGCATGATGAGGAGAAGGCCAGTATTGGCAGTTGGTAGTGTTCTTGTGAATATTTTTTTAAGTTTTTAAATGAAACCTCATTCCCTTTTGGATTTCATTATTTTGGTAGGAAGCAGTGAAAGTCTGGGGTCGACTTCTGCTTGGGAAGTCGTGACCATTAGTGGTCAGTGCCAGCTGAAGTAGCATTGCTAGTGTTGCTAGTCAGTTTGGGGATTGAGAAGGATGAGGCATTGCCGTCAGCATGAGGCCAGCCGGAGCAGGTCGTCAGACCAGCCAGTGCACAGCCTGAGCCTTTCTTTTCTTTCTTTCTTTCTTTCTTTCTTTCTTTCTTTCTTTCTTTCTTTCTTTCTTTCTTTCTTTCTTTCTTTCTTTCTTTCTTTCTTTCTTTCTTTCTTTCTTTCTTTCTTTCTTTCTTTCTTTCTTTCTTTCTTTCTTTCTTTCTTTCTTTCTTTCTTTCTTTCTTTCTTTCTTTCTTTCTTTCTTTCTTTCTTTCTTTCTTTCTTTCTTTCTTTCTTTCTTTCTTTCTTTCTTTCTTTCTTTCTTTCTTTCTTTCTTTCTTTCTTTCTTTCTTTCTTTCTTTCTTTCTTTCTTTCTTTCTTTCTTTCTTTCTTTCTTTCTTTCTTTCTTTCTTTCTTTCTTTCCTTCTTTCCTTCCTTCCTTCCTTCTTTCTTTCTCTTTCTTTCTTTTTTAAAAAGGTTTTAAATTTTTTTTATTACATTTTATTTATGTTGTGTATGGAGGTCAGAGGACAACTTGCAGGAGTTATTTCTCTCCTTCCACAATGTGAGATGCAGGGATTGAATTCAGGTTTTCAGGTTGCGGGTACTTGCCTTTACCCACTGAGCCACTCATTGGGCTCAGCTTTAGTTTTTTAAACTGACATAAATTTTGTGTCCTTTGACTAATTCTCCTGTCTTTCTCAAGTGCAGCCCAACCTTCCGAGCCTAGGTAACTACTATCCCATTCCACTTCTCTGTGTTCAGCTTTTTCAGATTCTAGGTGTAAATGAGATTGTATATTCTTTGTCTTTCTGTGCCTCACTGATTTTATTCCAGGCTCATCTATGTTGTTACAGATGGGAAGATTTCCTTTTTATGACTGAATACTATTTCCTTGTATATTTCTACTATGTTTTCTTTATCTATTCATCCGCTGATGGACACATAGATGGACTCCCTATCTTGGTTATTGTGAACATGGGAGTGCAGATATCAGCACACTGATTTCATTTCCTTGGGAAATATACCCAGTAATGGGATTGCTAGATCACAGAGTACTTCTGTTTTTAATTTTTTAGGAACTTCTTTGGCACCAACACTACAGGGATTTGCTCCATACTCTTGCCAACACTTGCTTTCTTTCCTCTTTTTGAGATTAAAAAAAAATTGTGTGTGTGTGTGCCTGTGCCTGTGGAGGCCAGAAAAGGCTGTTGGATTCCTTGGAGCTAGAGTTGCAGGACATTGTGAGCTACCCAGTGTGGGTGCTGAAAACTTAATTCAGGTCCTCTGAAAAAGCATCTAGTGCTCTTAACTGCTGAGCCATTTTTCCAGTTCTCATCCTTTTTTTGATAACCATTCTCATAGGAATGAGGTAGTCTCTCATTGTAGTTTTAATGTGTGTTTCCCTGAGGATTAGTGATGTTGAATATTTTTTCGTAGGCCTTTTGGCCACTGGTATGCCTCTTGAGAATGTTATGAATATGTTTTTAGTCCATTTCACAAAATGCATCCTTTGCTTTCTTGCTATTGAGTTGAGTTTTGGATATTAGCCCATTATTAGATGTGTGCTTGCAAATATTCTGTCATTCTGTATGTTGGATTTTCACTTTACTCTTTCCTGTGGTATTCAGAAGCTTTTTAGTTTTAGTAATCTTGTAATACTTTTTTTCTATTTTTGCTATTGTTGACTTGCTTTTGATGATATATCAAAAAAAAAAAAAAAAAAATATGCTCAGGCCACTGTCATGGTGCTTTTCCCCAGTGTTTTCTTCTAGGAGTTTGAGTTTCAGGGTTTAAATTTGAAGTCATTTTGAGTTGATCTTTATGTATGGTGTAATTTAAGGATCTCATTTCATACATATGCAGATAAATCCAGTTTCCCCCAAGCCTTTTCCTCCCCTCCCCCCCAAGACAGTCTCCCTGTAGCCCTAGCTGGCCTGGTACCCACTATGTAGACCAGCCTAGCCTCTTGTCTCTGAGATCCGCCTGGTCTGCCTCTGCCTTCCAAGTGCTGGGATTAAAGCTCCCCCATATCTTTTTTTTTTTTTTTTTTGAAGAGACCATGCTTTCCCCCTTGTATTTTCTTGCTGAGCCTTTCTTAGAACCATTTTTCACCCGTTTCTAGTAGACCAGAGAAGACACCATTTCATGTCTTTTGTTCTATATCTCATGACTGCACATTCACATGTAAATTTCTTCTCTCCTGCTAGATAGCACAATAAATTAAATTAATTAAAACACAATAAATTAAATTAGTTCAAAAACCTGTTCAAAGGGCAGAAGGGGTTTTCCAGCTGCAGTGGTTACAATGTTTTCTGGTTACAGAACCATAGAAGTGATTTCTTTTAAAAATGAAATTCTTCTTACTTTTCTGTTACGTGAGTCTCCTGATTTCCTCATGAGTTCTTAGCTGTTTGGGGGACATGGAGGTAGTCTGTATTCTGGTTTTATAGTTTGTCTTCAAGATTGCCAGATGATACAAAAAATTGTGGTGTTCCCTCTCTCAGGGAAATACCAATCTTGTGTTTCCTCCCTGCAAACATCCTAAACCTCACGTTAGCTGTTTCTTTAGACTTAACAGTATGGTGTTTCTTAAGCTTGTTTCATGTCACACACCCACAAAAGTGCTATGGTTTGGATGTGCAGGAGGGGAGACAGTTATTATAGCTAGAATTAGAGAGATTTGCTCATCCCAACATGACCATGTATAGCCAAGTGAGAACCAATGGTCTTAGCTGTGCTGAAGTAATACACAGTGTATTCCACTGATTTTGGCCAAGATGGGTGAGAGAGGACTGCTCTAGTTTAGTTAAGTATCTGAGTTAAATAAGATCAAATAAGGTGACACACTTTAGAGCTGGTGGTGGGCAGTAGAAACTAGCACTGTTTCTTTTTTCTTTTGAAATTTTATTATTATTTTTTTTTTGTTTCACAAAACATCATTTTTTTTAATGGTCTTAGCTGTGCTGAAGTAATACACAGTGTATTCCACTGATTTTGGCCAAGATGGGTGAGAGAGGACTGCTCTAGTTTAGTTAAGTATCTGAGTTAAATAAGATCAAATAAGGTGACACACTTTAGAGCTGGTGGTGGGCAGTAGAAACTAGCACTGTTTCTTTT